GTATTAGATGAGGGGGGGGGACCCTTAGAAGGGCCCCTGAAATCTTATCCCCCTTTTCTAACCCTTATGTAATTACACCTTATAGTGTCCCTATATGCCTACGTAGCTGCTACACGAACCCGAAGGTCCCCTTTTTGTGTCCCTTCTGTATCTAAGGGTAGTCACATGGTCCCTTGACATGGTCCCTTACCTGCTCTAAAGGGTTCTGATGTATGGGCCCTTGGGTTGTCCGGGGGTCCCTTTTTGAGGGCCCATATGAACGGACCATGTAACCACCCGAAGACCTAAAGGGGGAACGGAACCCTGAACAACTTCCCGCCTAGGCTGCTGCTGGCGCTGCTGTTAGTGGCCGCGCTGGGCGCCTTTCTGCCCCCGGGCTCCAGCCCGAACTTGTAAACTGGCCCGTGAACCCAAACACCCACAGCCTACACCCTAGACTCAGACCCTGACCCCGGCGCAGACCCTGAAAAACATAAACCCTTACACCCCGAAAACTGGAGAACCGAAGACCTGGAGCCCTGAACCCAAAACCTAAGCCCGAAGCCCCCGAAGACCCGGCTGCCTCAACAACCTCCCGAAATCCCTAAACCCTTCAGAACCTAAACCCCAAGACCGTCAACCCTTAAGAGCCTCTCTTAGCCCCTAAAACCCCGAAAGCCCTCAATTCCAGAAGCTTCGTGGTTTAAGTGTTGGGTTTTTTGTGGTATCTTGCGGGTTTCTTGTTGGTGTTGTGCTTGCGCAATACGGCGTTGGTATCAGTTGGGGGTTCTGTGCCCTGAGCCCGATTCCCGGCTTTGATTTCGAACCAACCCCCCCCCCCCCGCCCAATCTAGGATTTAGGGTGTAGAGTTTCTCTGGGAAATTCCTGGACTTACTCGTACGTTAGGGTTCAGGGCATAGACGGACTAAAGAAGAGGGAAATACTCTAAATCCATAAACCACAAGTCCTAATTCCTTGCTTCAAGAGCGGAATCCCAAAGACTCAACTATATATCAGTCAAAAGGGGTTATGGTACCCAGAATGGTGTATCGGTGAGCAGGTCGGGGTTTAGGGTTAAGGGTTTAGTTAGGGTTTAGGGTTTAGGGTTTAGGGTTTAGGGTTTAGGGTTTAGGGTTTAGGGTTTAGGGTTTAGGGTTTAGGGTTTAGGGTTTAGGGTTCCCGAAGCCCGAAGGTTCCGCCAGCCCATCCGGTGCGACCAGATCTCTGCAACGATCTCGGCCGCCGTGGGCCCTCTCTCAGTGAGCCCTGGGCTGGACCTGGGTTCATTTTTGGCCTTGAAGGGGGCTTTAAGGGGCTTTGAGGTGCTTCAAGAGGCGGCTTTCAAGGGATTCTTTGGGGGCTTCAAGGGGTTTTAAGGGTCTCTTGTAGGGGCTTCAAGGGGCTTTAGGGGTTGGATGGGGCTTTTCAGGAACTTTGGGGTTTTAGGGGTTCTAGGGGGCTTTCGGTCTTGTTCTAGGGCTCAGGCTGGAGCGTTGCTGAGGGTTGAGGCCTTGGGGGCTTTGGAGTGTAGGGTCAACTTGCTTCGTCTCAACCCTTCACTGAGCAGTGGGCTGCTTGAAGATACTGCCTAGGAAACTTCTTAGAGAGTTCAGGGTTTAGGCTGGTTTGAGGAATTCGATGTAAAGTGGAAAAGTTTCCGAATGTTGGGCGAACCAATGGGCAGGTGGGTATGTCTCGGCGCTTGACAAGCTGCTTGACTAGTGAATGCTTTGACCTGAGATGCTAAACCCTAAGCCCTCAGCCCTCAGCCTCACCCTAAGTAACCCTAAACCCTAAACCCTCAGCCCTCAACCCTAAACCCTCAACCCTAAACCCTAAACCCGAGGCCTTAAACCCTAAACACCTCAACCCGTGAAGCGCCACACAACACAACATGACGCCCAGGGCCAGCGGCCAAGCTTCGGCATTGACCGAAGCCACGCCCAATGTTCTTCCTCCGACAGTGCCGCTGGGTGTGGGTTTAGGGTTTAGGGTTTAGGGTTTATGGTTTAGGCTTTAGGGTTTAGGGTTTAGGTGGTAGGGTTTAGGGTTTAGGGTTTGGGGTGGTTTAGGGTTCAGGGTTTAGGCTTTGAAGGTTCGTGGGGTTTTAGAAATGAGGTTCGAAGCATCCTAGATAAGACTATCACGTACATCCATCGTTTCCCTTCTGAGAACTACCCGGGAACCTCCATCTGTATTGTAGACTGCAGCCCCGAAACGCAAACAACCACAGGAGATCAGCACTTCTCAAAATTAAGGTCACTTATATGCTCCCTTAGCTCCTTTAAGGGGGTGTATAAGGGGTCCCCATTTAAGGGCCTATAGTAAGGGACCATGTAAGGTTTGCTTTTGGGGTCCTTAGTATAAGGCGGCGCCTATTATGTAGGGTACCCAATCATTTAAAGAACTGGCCAAATCCTAAACCCCATACCTCTGAACCCCCCTCCCCAAGGCCTCTAAACCCCAACGTCCCAAAACCCCTAAACCCTAAACCGTAAACCCTAGACCCTAAACCCTAAAACCCTACACCCCTAAACCCCAAACCCGAAGCCCTACGACCTGAAGATCCCAAGCCCCAACATCCTCAGACTACAGCCTCCTTAAGGAGTCGAAAAGTAGTTACATGGTCCCTTAACTTACTGTTGGTTAGAAGGGAATCAGGGAATGAGGTACCCTATATCCCCCTATATACACCCTTAAAGGGATTATATAGGGTACCTCATTCCCTCATTCCCTACGAACCAACAGTAAGTTAAGAGGGAGCAGCACCTCATCTGTGTCTTCCAAGACTGGCGCCCGAGTTCTTCTCCCACACCATGGGACACGTTGCTCTTGCTCCTGGGGTCACCCCTAAACCCTAAACCCTAAACCCTAAACCCTAAACCCTAAACCCTAAACCCTAAACCCTAAACCCTAAACCCTAAACCCTATGAAAGGAGCCACTGCTGTGATACCGATGGTTCATTCGAAGGCCGCCGGTAAGTATGACGTGTCAAGCAAAGGTGCAGCCGCGAAGTGCCCCAAAGGCGAGATCGATGAGACGAACGTCTTGCATTTCACAAGCCGGTTTCAACTCAGGTGGCGCTTCAGCCTCGCAGCGAGAACCTGCCATGAGCTATCCTGTGAGGAAATATGTGTTGGTAGGGTAGCGATAAATTAAACTTTTAGCTGCCTTGTTAAGAAACCCAACAAGCCCAAAAAAGCTAAGGATCAGAACCCTTATCAGAACCCCGAAAGAGACGGCAAACGCCATTTTTGTTAGGGTTCTAAGGGGGAGTAGGGCCAAGCTTCCAAGAGGTGTGGAGCTCCTAGACCCTGGATTTAGGGTTTAGGGTTTAGGGTTTAGGGTTTAGGGTTTAGGGTTTAGGGGTGACCCCAGCCCAAGCAGACCCTAAACCATATGGGTACTTCCAAAAATAAGAACCTCACCCCAAATGTACTCTAAGCAGGCTCTAGTACTTTTTGCAGGAACCCCCCACCCCGCAAAACCGTAAACCCTAAACCAAACAACCCTAAACTCCTAAAGCCCCCTAAGCCAATGAAACTCTCGCACCCGTACTCTCAAGACCTTTAAAACGCCCAAACTGGATGCCAACTTGCAGAGCCTTTTTGCCTTCCACTATGGCTTACATGCCCGGATGGACAATTTGTTGGGGATGGGGTTGGTAAATGTCTACCTAAACCCTACAAACCCTAGACCCTTAAACCTTCAACCCTAAAACCCAAAAGCCCTAAAACCCCAAAGCCCTAAACCCCCCAAAACCCTAAAGCCCTGAAGGCCTTTGTGGTACTTTACCGCAACTTTAGATCCTTAGCTTTTTTGGGCTTATTGGGTTTCTTGACAAGGCAGCTAAAGGTCTAATTTATAGCAACCCTGCTAAGCGCAGCCAAGAGTGGGGTCTACCTAAACCCTATCAACCCTAAACCCTTAAACCCTGAAACCTTTTAACCCTTAAATCCCTAAACCCTTAAACCCTTAAACCCTTAAACCCTTAAACCCCTAAACCCTTAACCCTAAACCCCTAAAACCCTAAACCCTAAACCCTAAAACCCTGAAAGTCGCGTGCTTTGGGCATGCCCAAGGCCCGCGCCGGCGCCTCCCCCGGCGTTTCTGGCTCCGGCCCCGGCGAAGCCGCTGGAGGCGCCCCTCTGTTTAGGGTTTAGGGTTTAGGGTTTAGGGTTTAGGGGTTTAAGGGTTTAAGGGCTTAAGGGTTTAAGGGTTTAAGGGTTTAAGGGTCTAAGGGTTTAGGGGTTTAAGGGTTTAAGGGTTTAAGGGTCTAAGGGTTTAGGGGTTTAGGGGTTTAAGGGTTCAAGGGTTTAAGGGTTTAAGGGTTCAAGGGTCTAAGGGTTCAAGGGTTTAAGGGTTTAAGGGTTTGAGAAATTAGGGGGCCCTGAGGCTTCCTTGCCCTGGACCCCAAACCCTGAGCCCCAAGGCTTCACATCATTTCTTGAAACCCCGAAGCCCTGAGGCTTCATATTGCAGACCCCACACCCCAAACCCTAAACCCTAAACCCTAAACCCTAAACCCTAAACCCTAAACCCTAAACCCTAAACCCTAAACCCGAAGGTTTCGGATTTGTAGAGAGGACGCCCGAAACCCTAAACCTCAGGCTTCAGATTGTAAGCCACACCCCAAATCCTAGCCCTGAGGTTCCCTAGACCCTAAACCCTGAACCCTGAACTCCAAACAACAAATCCTAAACCCTAAGCCCTAAATCCTAAACCCTAAATCCTAAACCCTAAACCCTAAATCCTAAACCCTAAACCCTGTTTTGGGCAACCCTGGACCCTCCCTCCCCCCTGACAAAACCAGATGTTGGCGGCCACCTTTCACATTAAGGCACGAAGCCCTGAAGGACCCTAAACCTCAACCCCAAACCCTAGAGCCTAAACCCTAAACTCTAAACCCTAAACCCTAAACCCTAAACCCTAAACCCTAAACCCTAAACCCTAAACCCTAAACCCTTAAACCTAAAACCTAGACCCCAAACCCCAAACCCTGAAGGGGTCCAGCGTTTGGGGTTTTAGGGTTTCAGGGTTATAGGGTTCTAGGGTTTTAGGGCTTTAGGGTTTTAGGGTTATAGGTTTAGGGTTTTAGGGTTTCAGGGTTATAGGGTTCAAGCCCTCAACCCCCTCAATCGAACCCCTCATTTCCTCAACCCTGCAACCCTTTTATAACTACTTGTCACCAATGATAGCCCTATTGGGATACTTAAGGGGCTTGTAAGAGGCCCATAAGTACAGTTCTAATTGGGTTATCTTTGGGTACTTTTTATATACAGAACCTCCAGTGCGACCCTACACCCTGAACCCTAGACTCCTACACCCCCTCAGCCCCTAAACCCCTCAACCCCTAACCTGAAACCAGCCCCACAAGAGGCGCCTGTCCCCTTCGTCATGCGCAGCAAAGATCCCTGCGTGCCCGTCTTAGGCCAGAAGGCTGGAACCTGCGCCAGTTCTAGTGGGTTTAGGTTTAGGGTTTAGGGTTTAGGGTTTAGGGTTTAGGGTTTAGGGTTTAGGGTTTAGGGTTTAGGGTTTAGGGTTTAGGGTTTAGGGTTTCGGGGATGAAGATGCGCCCAACTTCCTCGCAGTCGTGAACCTTGAGCGTGAAAGCTACTCAAAGCAAGCCCTTGAATTCTTACAACCTAGCCCCAAGGACCGAGACTCCGAGAAAACTGCTGCCCCCTCGCAGAAGCGATAACCCCCCCCAACCACTAAGGCCGTAGCCCCTGGACCCAAAACTGGCTTGACTCGGATTACATCTTAGTAACTGAGAACCCCCCCACAGAAGAAAGCCCCAATCCCTAAACTCTTTACTGGGTTGTTTCGGGGAATAGATTTTAAAGTTCGACGGGCCCGAACCCCCCGAATCCCTGTCAAACCCCGCGACTCAATCACTAAATCCCTAAACCCTAAACCCTAAACCCTAAACCCCAAGCCCTAAACCCCTAAACCCCAGACCCTAAACCCTAGACAAGAAGGCGCTAAGCTGCGGCGGAATCCGCCAGGTTGTCGTGGGCCCCAGGGAGGAGTTTGAGTACGTCCAAAGTGCCATGGACGCCTGGGCAGCTCTTTGGGGGGCTGCATGGGTCAGGTTTTTGCATGTTTACAAGGGTCTAGTTGGAGGTTCATGGTGCTTAGAACCCAATGACACTAGTGTACGTACAATCCAACAGCAACTGAACTTAGTCCCATTACTTAATGTGCTTAGAACCTAGCCCCTTTCAGTGCCCAAATATATATGGCCTTATTAGGTTCTGAAGCTCCGCTGAACCTCCAAGCAAAAGCGCTTGGGGTCGAGGGGTTTGGGGATTTGGGGTTGTATTAGGGGTTGACGGGCCTCGGGGTTTTTAGGGTTTAGAGGTCTACACCCTAAGTCCTTAAAACTTGAATGTTACGGTCCAAGACACAACTTCTACGGAGGCCGCCGAAGAGCCTGGCAGTGGCTTCTCTTGCGGGCCTTACGTGGGGCTGAGGAAGTGGGGTCTGGGGCTTAGGGTTTATTTAGGGTACCCTAAACCTTAAGCCCTAAACCCTAAGCCCTAAACTCTAAGCCCTAAGCCTGCTTGAAGACTAGTTGGCCATAGCTAGCGGTTTGGGTTCTCGGAGCCTTTCAGATTACCACTCAAAAGGCAACACATCTCCACACCGGTAAGGTTTAGGGCTTCCTTCGGGAAACCGATGCCGAACCCCACTGAAGCTGAAACCGAAACTGTTTCAGTTTCAGTTTCTGTACAGCTGGCTCCTAAATTGAAACTGGAACTGAAGCCGAAACTGAAACCGAAACTGTTTGCGGTTTTGGGGGTAGCAGCTCTCGGATGCCGAGGAGAAGGAGTGGTTCCAGGAACCCCGCATGGGGCAGATTTGCAAGCTGGCCCTGCAGCAGAAGCAGCAGGCCTTTAGGGTTTAGGGTTTAGGGTTTAGGGTTTAGAGCTTAGGGCTTGAGGGTTGAGGGTTTAGGGTTTTGGGGTTTAGGGTATGGGGTTTGGGATCTGGGGTTTGGGGTTTGGGGTCTAGGGTGTGGGGTTAAGGGCTCTGGGTTCTTAGTAGTGAATGAGGGAAGAAGGTGCCCTGTAGAATCCCTTGATGGGTTTAGTATACGGGATATGAGGTAACCTTATCAAAAAGAACCAGCAAGTTGATTGTCTGATTCGGTCTTATTAAGACACTTAATCATCCTACCATCTGGTTTATGGCTTAGGGCTTAGGGTTTAGTGGTTCGGTTAGCTAAACCCTAAACCCTAAACCCTAAACCCTAAACCTTAAACCCTAAACCCTAAGCCCTAAACCCTACACCCTAAACTCTAAACCCTAAGCCCGAAGCCCGAAACCCTAAACCCCAAACCCCAAACCGCAGTAGCGCTAAAGGGTACGTAACCCCTTCCCACCCAAACCCGCAACGCTGAACCCTCAACTTGTAGAAAAGATAAGGCCGGATCGCTTGTAGGGCTGCTCCTAAGCCCAGCCGGAGGTTTACGGTTTAGTGTCTAGGGTTTAGGGTTTAGGGCTCAGGGTTCAGGGTATAGAGCTTAGAGTTTAGCCCAAGGCTCTTCAGGGGTAAATGCCCTAAACTCTTGTGTCTAAATCCCTAGAACTTAGAACCCTAAACTCTTCAACCCCTAAACCCTAAACCCCTAAACTCTTCAACCCCTAAACCCCCAAACCCCTAAACTCCTAAACCCCTAAACCCCTCAACCCCCCAACCCCTAAACCCCTAAACTCCCAAACCCCCAAACCCCCAAACCGTAAACCAGGCCGCGATGTGGCTGAACTACTCCTAAACCCTAAACCCTAAACCCTAAACCCTAAACCCTAAACCCTAAACCCTAAACCCTAAACCCTAAACCCTAAACCCTAAACCCTAAACCCTAAACCCTAAACCCTAAACCCGTCAACCCTAAACCAGGCCGCGATGTGGCTGAACTACTCCAAGGCGGTGTTCAAGCCCGTCGTGGACCAGCCGCCGCGCGACCCGACTCCCCAGGAGGCAGAAGTCCTGTCCTACTTCCTGGACAAGGAAAAGGGCGTTTAAGGCGTTTAGGATTTAGGGTTTAGGGTTTAGGGTTTAGGGCTACTTCCTGGACAAGGAAAGTCCGTAGGGGTGTTTGGGGCTTTTTTAGGGGTTTTGTTAGGGTTTTTGGAGGAGCTTTTGGGGTTTTGGGCCCAAATCTCGCTATCATCCTTGCGTGGTTAGTTCCCGAGGTCATAGGTTTAGGGCTTATAGTGATACTGGCGCAAATAAGCACCCATACGAAGGGCCCTTGTTACTGCCCTGCGAAGTCCCCCAAGCCTTCCTGGCTTTAGGGTTTAGGGTTTGGGGATCTAGGAAGTCGGGTTTGGTGCATTCTGATCAGGGCTTCGGGGCCTTAAACCCTAAACCCTAAACCCTAAACCCTAAACCCTAAACCCTAAACCCTAAACCCTAAACCCTAAACCCTAAACCCTAAACCCTAAACCCCAAACCCTAAACCCTAAACCCCAAACCCTAAACTCGGAACCCTCATGGTTTTTGCTCCAGGACCAGCGGCGGCACTGGATAGAGCCGTTGCCCTTTGGGTCAGCATTTGGGTCGGGCTTTTCGGTCGAAGAAGCCCCAAACCCCTTTAGGGTTTAGGGCTTAGGGTTAGCCCATAAGCCTCGCACCTTTATAGATTCCAAAAAACACTCCTTTTGAGTAAATCCAATACCCCAACCCCAAGCCCTAAACCAATCCAATGCTTGTTTTGGGAGCCCTAAACCCCTCTTTTTTTGGTAGGCTGTTGTTGCACCTCTGCAAATTCTTAGGTAACCTACAGCGACTCGAGGTTTCGGGTCCCAAGGCTTCAGGGTTTCGGGATTAGGGCCTTTTTTGGGTTTAGGGTTACAGGGTTTAGGGTTTTAGGGTGTAGGGTCTCCAGGTGCAGGGTTTAGCCCTAGGTTTAGGGTTAGGGTTTCAGTAGGGTTTATGGCAAGTAAGGTTCGGGATGGAGAGTTTTCGGGTTTGGGGGGGTTTAGGCTTCTGGCATTTGCCATTACCATGTTGTGATGTGATTCCTAACCCTAAACCCTAAACCCTAAACCCTAAACCCTAAACCCTAAACCCTAAACCCTAAACCCTAAACCCTAAACACATGCAGACCCCACCATCCAGAAGCCCCAGTCCAATCGGTCCGCACTACGCCCCCAAAGCATGTGACGAGTGCACTGAGCACGCAACCCTGAAGCCTGAGTAGCTGCACACTTTAACCTTATAGCCCTAAACCCTAAACCCTAAACCCTAAACCCTAAACCCTAAACCCTAAACCCCTAAACCCTAAACCCTAAACCCTAAAACCCTAAACCCTAAACCCTAAACCCTAAACCCTAAACCCCCAAAACCCCTACTGTAAGCTGCTGTAAGCTCAAGGTCGGGCGTTGCTCGCAACCCGCACTCGGTCTGCCCCAACACGGGCGGGGTAGACAAGTTTGACATCCAGCTTCCCGTACGCACGGTTTAGGGTTTAGGGTTTAGGGTTTAGGGTTTAAGGTTCTGGGGTGTTGGGAGCGCTTTAACAAACCCTCCGCAAGCCTTTTCTGGAGTTTATGATGGGAAATGAGGCCCATGGGGTTCAGGCTTCCTAGGCCCCATGCAACCCTCAGCCTCAACCATACACCCCTAAACCCTAAACCCTAAACCCTAAACCCTAAACCCTAAACCCTAAACCCTAAACCCTAAGCCCTCAACCCTAAACCCGAAATTCTCAAATCCCTGAACCGCTAAACCCCAAACGAGGCAACGGTGTGGTTGCCGTTGTTGCCTCCTTGCCAGAGAAAGACGAGGTGGAAAAAACGGACTTTGTGAGAGTCTGAGAGGGCGAACCGTTTTTGGCGTCTAGGGGTTTAGGGGTCTGGGGTCCCTAAACCCTAAACCCTAAACCCTAAACCCTAAACCCTAAACCCTAAACCCTAAAGACCCTAAAGACCCTAAAGACCCTAAAGACCCTAAACCCTAAACCCTAAACCCTAATTGACGGTTTAGGGTTTAGGGCTTAGGGTTTAGGGTTCAGGCAGCCGTTCTCGTTGCCCATCGAGGAGTAGGTGCACGTGTGCCGAGGTACCTGGTGCTGGAAACCTACTGTGGACATCCAGGACTGTTCTGAACCAAGGGTTTAGGGTTTAGGGTTTAGGGCTACTCGGACCCAGAGTAGTCCCTTATTCCCCTTTTTTAGGGTTTAGGTTCCCTTATAATCCCCTTTAAACCAAAAAGGGTGCCCTTTTTATTCCTAGGTTACTCTTGGGTCTAGAAGGTCTAAGCTCGTGGATGTCGAAAAGCAGGGAACAGTAGCAAGAGCTTCGTTTCAGTAGGGTCTATGTGTTAGGTGCACAGCGGTTGATCTACACATTTTGTTGTTATTGTTCTTATTCTTGTTCTTATTCTTATTCTTATTCTTTTTCTTCTTATATGATGTTTTTGAACTATTTGCTTATTTTTTTGGGGGGCGGGGTGTGGGGAGGGGTGGGGGATGCTTGAAGTCATTTTTCAGCCCCAAAAGCTGTGTTCGCCGTTCGTAAGTCGGCAGGTTTGAGGGTGCCAAATGCTGGAAGATGACCAGAAGCCCCCCCCCCCCCCAAAAAAAAAAAAAAAAAAAAAAAAAAAAATGCGCCGCTTCCAGGCACGCCAATGACATGGAAAGCACATTCTCACGCTTTCTGCTGGAATCGAACCTGCTGGTTCTTAGCAGGGAAGAACCAGTAGGCTAAGGGGGCTGGGGTTTAGGGTTTAGGGTTTAGGGTTTAGGGTTTTAGGGTTTTAGGGTTTAGGGTTTAGGGTTTTAGGGTTTTAGGGTTTAGGGTTTAGGGTTTAGGGTTTAGGGTTTAGGGTTTACGGCTAGCCCTGGGGGGAACCTTCAATCTCCTCCTGACAGATCCATGAACCCATATGGGAACCCGAAACCTTAACCCCCAAAAAAGGAATGCTAACCCAAAACCCGAAAAGCCGAAAATCCGAAAACCCGAAAACCCTAAACCCCAACACCCTAGACCCGAACAACGGATTAAATGCTAACCCTAAACCCTAAACCCTAGACCCAACACCCTAGACAAGAAAGGGACTAGCAGGTAACCACCTCGAAGCCCCAAAATGTTCCATGATAGGGTTCTTGCTGTCGGGCCTTGGGGGGCAACCGTGACCTACAAAACCTGCACCCACGTAGTTAGGGTTAAGGGTTCGGAGTGTAGGTTTTTCGGGTTTAGGCTTTAGGGGTCTAGGGTTTGGGGTTTGGGGTTTGGGGTTTAGGGTTTAAGGGTTTAGGGCTTCCATAAAAGCCCTCTCAGAGGACCCAAGCCGCGCGTGAAGCTCTTTGACATGGGCTGCACCACCAACTGGAACTGGAAGTTGCCAAAGCATCTCGCGTGCAAAGTCCCAAGGTCCTAAACGCCCTGAGTTCCCACCTCTAAACCCTAAACCCTAGACCCTAAACCCCAAACCCTAAACCCCTCTTTTCTTCGTTTCATGGGCGAAAGCCTAGGCTTCTGGGGGAATTTGGGTTCAAGGGTTTTGGTTTGGGAGTGCGCAGGATGTAGGGTGTAGGGTCTGGGAGGTGTGGTGTAAAGATGTAGGTTCTTGGGGTGTAGGGCTTTTCAGGTGTAGGGCATAAACCCCCCCCCCCCCCCCACCGCCCAAACCTCTCAACCGCAGAACCCAGAACCCCTGAAGCCTGAAGCCTTGAAGCTCAACCCTAAACCCTAAACCCTAAACCCTAAACCCTAAACCCTAAACCCTAAACCCTAAACCCTAAACCCTAAACCCTAAACCCTAAACCCTAAACCCTAAACCCTACCCCCTAAACCCTAAACCCTAAACCCTAAACCCTAAACCCTAAACCCTAAACCCTAAACCCTAAACCCCTAAACCCCTAAACCCCTAAACCCCTAAACCCTAAACCCTAAACCCTTAATCCCTACACCCTAAACCCTAAACCCTAAACCCTAAACCCTAAACCCTAAACCCTAAACGGCCCTGCAGCCCAGAAGCCTTGACGCCCCTAAGGCCTCTAAGGCCCTAAACCTGAAAACCCTGCAAGCCCTAAACCCTAAACCCTAAACCCTAAACCCTAAACCCTAAACCCTAAACCCTAAACCCTAAACCCTAAACCCTAAAAACGAAGCCACCCAACAAAGTCCCAAAACCCTGATCTTCTCGGCGATGCTACGATTTCCGACATCCCAACACCAGGGTCCTAAAGCAGCAACTCCTCCAAGCCCGAAAAAACCCCAAGCCCTAAAGCCCCAAGCCCTAAAACCCTGCACCCTAGAATCCTGCCCCCCCCCCCCCCCCCCCCCTAAACCCTAAACCCTAAACCCTAAACCCTAAACCCTAAACCCTAAACCCCTAAACCCTAAACCTCTCTTTCTATATATATAAACCCTAATGGGTTTCGTGGACGAAGGCACAAATATTCGTGGGCAAGGCACAAAAATTCGTGGGCAAGGCACAAAAATTCGTGGACAAGGCACAAAAATTCGTGGACAAGGCACATTTCGGATTTTTGGGCCCTTGGGCAAGGCTTAAAACCCCAAAATGTGCCTTGCCCACGAATTTTTGTGTCTTGCCCACGAATTTTGTGCCTTGCCCACGAATTTTTGTGCCTTTGCCCACGAAATTTTGTGCCTTGCCCACGAATTTTCGGGCACGTAAACTGGTGGCAAGGCACAAAAATTCGTGGGCAAGGCACCAAAATTCGTGGGCAAGGCACCGAAATTCGTGGGCAAGGCACAAAAATTCGTGAGCAAGGCACAAAAATTCGTGGGCAAGGCACGTTCCCACCCCAACTTTTGTATGAAGATACTTTATAGTTTCTTAATGTTATGGGATTCTCTGGGTGGGTGGGTGTTATATCCAAGCCGTAAATCTGCTCGATCCGGAGCTGCTGAACCCTAAACCCTAAACCCTAAACCCTAAACCCTAAACCCTAAACCCTAAACCCTAAACCCTAAACCCTAAACCCTAAACCCTAAACCCTCCCCTACCCCCCCCACAAAAGTTCGTGGCAAGACGTGCAAGGCACGTTTCGGAGTTTTGGCCCTTGGGCAAGGCTTGAAGCCTCAAAATGTGCCTTGCCTGCGAATTTTTGTGCCTTGCCCACGAATTTTGTGCCTTGCCCACGAATATTTGTGCCTTTGCCCACGAAATTTTGTGCCTTGCCCACGAATTTTCGGGCACACAAATTGGTGGCAAGGCACCAAAAACTCGTGGGCAAGGCACCAAAATTCGTGGGCAAGGCACCGAAATTCGTGGGCAAGGCACAAAAATTGGTGGGCAAGGCACAAAAATTCGTGGGCAAGGCACAAAAATTCGTGGGCAGGGCACAAAAATTCGTGGGCAAGGCACAAAAATTCGTGGGCAAGGCACGTTCCCACCCCAACTTTTGTATGAAGATACTTTATAGTTTCTTAATGTTATGGGATTCTCTGGGTGGGTGGGTGTTATATCCGAGCCGTAAACCTGCTCGATCCGGAGCTGCTGAACCCTAAACCCTAAACCCTAAACCCCTTGGTCTGAAGGTACGACTTCTACAACGTGGATTACCGCCGCGGGGTGGGGCTCGGCCCCTCCATCCCCCTCTTCTTCAACATGTACCGGGAGCCCGTGGGGTTTGGGGTTTCGGGTTTAGGGTTTGGGGTTTAGGGTTTAGGGTTTAGGGTTTGGGGTTTAGGGTTTAGGGTTTAGGGTTTGGGGGTTTAGGGTTTGGGGTTTGGGGTTTAGGGTTTGGGGTTTGGGGTTTAGGGTTTGGGGTTTGGGGTTTGGGGTTTAGGGTTTAGGGTTTAGGGTTTGGGGGTTTAGGGTTTGGGGTTTGGGGTTTAGGGTTTAGGGTTGGGGGTTTAGGGTTTGGGGTTTGGGGTTTGGGGTTTGGGGTTTAGGGTTTGGGGTTTGGGGTTTGGGGTTTAGGGTTTGGGGTTTAGGGTTTGGGGTTTGGGGTTTAGGGTTTAGGGTTTGGGGTTTGGGGTTCAGGGTTTGGGGTTTGGGGTTTGGGGTTTAGGGTTTAGGGTTTGGGGTTTGGGGTTTAGGGTTTAGGGTTTGGGGTTTGGGGTTTAGGGTTTGGGGTTTGGGATTTGGGGTTTAGGGTTTGGGGTTTGGGGTTTGGGGTTTAGGGTTTGGGGTTTGGGGTTTAGGGGTTGGGGGTTGTGGTTTAGGGCTTCAGGGTTTAGCACGGATGGGAGCCAGGGACCTATAACCTTAAACCCATAAAGAATATGGAGTTTGGGGTTTAAAGGGTTTAGGGATGTTTAGGGTTTAGGGTTAACAGGGCTGGAGGGTTTAGGTTTATAGGGTTGAAGGTTTAGAAGGTTTCTAGGGTTTGGGGTTGGAAGGTTGGGGGGTTTAGGGTTTTGGGTTTAAGAGGGTTCAGGGGTTAGGGTTTAGGGTTTACAGGCTTGGAGGGTTGGAGGTCTTGCGGTAAACTGCCCTTCAACCCCAAACCCTATCCGGAAGTCCCCGAATCCTAAGCCCTAAACTCTAAATGCAAACCCTAAACCCTAAACCCTAAACCCTAAACCCTAAACCCTAAACCCTAAACCCTAAACCCTAAACCCTAAACCCTAAACCCTAAACCCTAAACCCTAAACCCTAAACCCTAAACCCTAAACCCTAAACCCTAAACCCTAAACCCTAAACCCCTAAACCCTAAACCCTAAACCCTAAACCCTAAACCCTAAACCCTAAACCCTAAACCCTAAACCCTAAACCCTAAACCCTAAACCCTGGCCGTAAACCCCAAACCCCAAACCCGAAACCCCAAACCCAAAGCACCAAACCCGAACCTCCAAACTCAGAGAAGCCCCAGGATCGATGTATGGAGTTCGATGACATCTTCGGCTGGGAGGCGAAAGGAATGAACCCCAATGAGTGGTGGTCTCCTCTGCCTGATAACATCCGTGACACGGCCTTCGGGATATGATGTGTTTACCCTTATGGGGTTTAAGAGGACTCATTAGGACGATGTTCTTTTTGACCCCTGACCCTAAACCCTAAACCCCTAACCCTAAACCCCGAACCCTAAACCCCGAACCCTAAACCCTATACCCAAAACCCTAAACCCTGAACCCCAGGTGAGCGGACCCGCTTCTACAACATCCCGGTCAACGAGACCTCCTGTCAGATGTCCACCAAGGGGCTCTTCGCAGAAGCTAGGATTAGCTTGAGGGGTGGGTTAGGGTTTCAGGGTTTAGTTAGGGTTCAGGGTTTGGGGTTTTGGGGTTTAGGGTCTAGGGTTTAGGGTTTGGGGTTTGCCGGGATTCTTTCCTACCCTACAGTCTACAAGCCCCAAAACCCTAAAAACCCTACAACCCTAAGACCCTACAACCCTAGAACCCTAGAACCCTAAATCCTAAACCCTGAACCCATGAGCAAAATCCCAGGAAAGGGGCAGCTTCCTGCACATGCTGCCCTACGCCGCCAAGCCGGAGGACTTCGTAGTGGTGAAGTTGCTCGGGTGCTTTGCGTGTTTGACTCCTTCCCCTAAGCCCTCAGCCCTAAGCCCCTAAGCCCTAAGCCGTAAGCCCTAAGCCCTAAAACCCCCAAAGCCTAAACCCTAAGCCTGAATGACAAACCAACCCCAAATCCAGCCCTCAAGCCTTAAGACGCCCAAGCCCTAGGTCCTAAACCCCGCAAAGCCCCAAGCCCTAAACCCTAAACCCCAAACCCCAAAACCCTAAACCCCAAACCCCAAACCCTAAACCCCAAACCCCAAACCCTATATAAACCCCAACCCTCTGTAGGGCCCCAAAGAGACCCAAGGTTGGACATCGATGGCGGGCCCGAGCTGGCGATCATGGAAGCCCTGATCCGCTTCCCCGAGTTGAGCTCTCTGGTGGACGAGTGCCTTGGCCCTGCTTGGAGGTTCATGGCGCCCTAAACCCGAAACCCTAAACCCTAAACCCTAAACCCTAAACCCTAAACCCTAAATCCTAAACCCTAAACCCTAAACCCTAAACCCCAAACCCCAAACCCCAAAAGGGAGAACAGTAGTCTGGGGCATACGGCCCCAAACATTTTAGTGTTCATGTGGTCCGCAAGATAGGGCTGAGGGTCATGGTACTTGAGAACCCACTTATCACTGCACTTATATCTCAATGATAACCATATGAGGATCCCCTGTTGGCTGGTCTGTGAGACCCCTTTAGGGTTTTGGGTGGTGAGATGATTTTTTGGTTTCGGGTTTGGGATTTCGGGCCCTCAGCCCTTTCTATCCAGAGAACCCTGAACAGGGGTTGCTGGGGGACAGGTTTTTGATCTGGTATCACTGCCGCAACCAAAAAGGGACCATATTATAGAGAACTGGCCATATGCTTTAGTCCATGCTCAAAGCCTGAACCCTGAGCCCTCTCTGTGGTGTCTGTGTTTAGGCAGGTATGTCGTGCGCATTCGTCTCACCCTTCCAGATCGGAAATCAGGTGTTGGGTTTGGTGAGTTCAAGCCCTCTTCTCCTTGCGCGGGCTTTCTACACGTTATCGTGGTCCTCACAAGTGTTGATGGGGCCTTGTAGGGCAACTCCGCACAATGCGTAGCAGGAGATCCTAGACACCCCCATGTCCCCAAGAAAGGATCTTCTTTGAGTACCATTTCTGGTTCGACGGCGGCAACTTTGGCTGGGGCCAAGTAGACAAGGCTTGGGCCGTACTGCTTGTTGTTTTTTTGTTTTTTTTTTTTTTTTTAAGGTGTTGTTTGGGGTTGAGGGTTAGTCTTCTGGGCTTTGTGGTATAATTAGGGTTCTTTGTTGATCCGATTTTCGAGCTTTGCGCTTCCCCAAGCTCAATCAACAAGTATTAAGTGAGGTCCCTTCAACGAGCCCTATGTTCATCCCTGAACCCCTCAAATGAAGGAATACACCTTCACACCTATGTCGGGATCCTAAGCAGGGCTTTCTGCATCTTCCTGAATATTGAGCTACAGAGGGGCCCTGCCTCTGAAAGGGTCTACTTGGAGGTTCAGGGTATGTATAACTCGAGTATAAGCGCACTTATGGCCCACAGAAGCCCCTGAAGTTTTTCAATATGGCCATTCCTGGGGAAAAAACTGCAGTCATAATTGGGTTAGTCGGTACCATGAACCCAAGTCGGGAGGCCTTGGGGAATCCGATTGAAAAGCCCTCAGCCCGCAACCCTAAACCCTACCCCTAAACCCTAAACCCTAAACCCGAAACCCTAAACCCTAAACCCTAAACCCTAAACCCGAAACCCGAAAACCCTAAACCCAACCCCTTGAGCAACTCTGGGGAAGGAGAGGAACGTGGACACCGCATTGGACCTGATGCTTGGTAGCCCCCAGTGGCAACCTTTTTGACCCCGTTTTGAATGTCTTTGCCTCCCTTATGTGCAGCAACCTCCGCCCTCCCAAAGAAGATTACCCCCCTTTTGTTAAATATGAGGGTTTCGGGTTTTGAGGTTGTTCGCCGCCCCCAAAGGGGTACCCCTTTTCTTTCTAAGTAATGGTTGAGGATGAAGAGGCTAGGTTCTCTTATCATACAAAAGCTTTAGGGATTAGGGTCTAGGGTTTAGGGTTACCCTTCTCTTTTAAAAAAACAGAGTTGTTGCTGAGCTACCCAGGATGAAAAGGCTACGCCAGGCAGGCATCCGGTCACACTTCTGGATCTAGAGGCGGCTTGGCGCGGTCGGAGGCAGGCGTTTGGGCAGCAGTCGAAAATGCCACCTGACACCCCCAAACCCTGGCCCTAACCCCTAAGGTTCAAGGGGGGCTGAGGGCTCAAGGGGGTTTAGGGGTTTAGGGGTTTAGGGGTTTCGGGGTTTAGGGGTTTAGGGGTTTAGGGTTTAGTTTAGGGTTTAGGGGTTTAGGGGTTTAGGGGTTAAGGGGTTTCGGGGTTTAGGGGATTAGGGGCCCATATGCTTTCTCTCGTCCCCATGCACCTAAGTATGACCCCAACGATTGGGCCAGGTCCCTCGTTGGCCAACACTTGGCTGAGAATGGGCATATGCGGACGGGGCCAAAGCCGCCAAAAAGACTCAGCGCGAACCCGGAGAATCGAACCTCCCCCCCCCCCCCCCCCCAAAACCTAAACCTTTAAACCCTGAACCCTGAACCCTAAACCCTAAACCCCAAACCCCAAACCCCAACAGCCCCAAACCAAAACCCCAAAACCCACAACCCTAGCGCCGGAAAAGAAGGCATACCAGAGGTTCCCAAATCGTTGAACTCCAAACCTCCCTGAGCTCCGAGCACCAACCTAAACCACCAGTTGCAATGCAGAACATGAGTATTCCCTATTATAGAACATACCCCCCCACAACCTACCCCGAAGCCTAAATTCTTTTTGGCATTCTTACCAACTTTTGTTGTTTATGTTTTTGCTTTAAGGTTGTTTCTGGGTTCGTGCAGACCCTTTGGGTGATTGTATTTTGGGCTCCTTACCGATATTCGTGAGTGTATATCTAGGGGTGTCTGACTTTGGGATAGCAGCAACACAAAATAGCCTCAGCCCTAAACCCTAAACTCTATGCCCTTTAAGTTGGCTTGAAAAGCCCTGAACCCTAGGGTTTAGGGTTTAGGGTTTTTGAAGGCTTTGAGGGCTTTGAGGGTGTTTGAGGGTCTATGGGTTAGGGAACCCTAAACCCCTCAACCCTACCCCCCCCTAGACCCTAAACCCTAAACCCTAAACCCTAAACCCTGAACCCTAAACCCTGAACCCTAAACCCTAAACCCTAAACGCTAAACCCTAAACCCCCCCCCCCCCCCCCGAAATGAAGCCCTGGTACGCTCTCAGCCCTCAATCCGCAATCAGCCCAAGCCCGGAGTCTCTACACTTAAGAACCCCAGGGGTTGAGAGGGTTTAGGGTTTAGGGTTTAGGGTTTAGGGTTCGCGAGTTTAGGGTTTAGGGTTTGGGGCCCCCCCAAAGCCTCAAAGCCTTGAACCCAAACTTCGAAACCCTAAACCCTAAACCCTAAACCCTAAACCCTAAACCCTAAACCCTAAACCCTAAACCCTAAACCCTAAACCCTAAGTCCTAACTTTATGAACCCCAAGTCCCTAAGATCCTGAAACGCCGAAAGCCCCTTACCTAGGTCCCTGAGTCCGGAAGTGTAGAAGCCTGCCGTCCTTTGCTGCTGCCATTGAGGGCCAAAGGGCCCAAGGGTTTGGGGGTGTTTAGGGTTTAGGGTTTAGGGTTTAGGGTTTAAGGTAGAGGGTTTAGGGCTCTGGGGGCTTCGGGCTTCAGGTTGGGTCCTCAGGTTTATGGTCTTGACAAAAAAGAGCTCTGACCCATGTTAGAGCCCTAAACCCTAAACCCAAAACCCAAAACCCTAAACCCTAAACCCTAAACCCTAAACCCCTCATCCCTGAACCCTCAGCCCCAAAAACCCTAAGCCCTTCGTAAAGCCCTAAACCCCTTGACCCGCAACCAAGGCCTGGCAGCACAGCGGCCCATGTGTCCTTTTAAGCCTGTCCCCTTATCCCTCCGCACCCTAACGCCTATAAAACCCTAAATGCCCTTTAAGCCCTTTAAACCCTATAAACCCCATAAGCCGTATAAACCCTATAAAGCTATATAAAGCCCTATAAAACCGTATACAGCCTGTAAACCCTATAAACCCAACCCTAAACCCTACCCTAAACCCTAAACCCTAAACCCTAAACCCTAAACCCTAAACCCTAAACCCTAAACCCTAAACCCTAAACCCTAAACCCTAAACCCTAAACCCTAAACCCTAAACCCTAAACCCTAAACCCTAAACCCTAAACACTAAACCCTAAACCCTAAGCCCTAAGCCCTAAACCCTAAACCCTAAACCTCATAAACCCTATTAAACCCCGCTCTACGAGGCCCCAGCCGGCCATGGGAAGCTCTTTCAGCTGCCTCTACGGATTCAGGCCAGCGTGAAATTTAGGGTTTAGGGTTTGGGGCTTAGGGTTTAGGGTTCAGGGTTCAGCATCTCAAGTCCAAGCATTCACTAGTCAAGAAATTATTCCAGAAAAATACCCACCCGCCCAAAGAATCCCATAACATTAAGAACATATTTCACTTATAGAACGACCTTGCCCAGTAAAAAATGACCTTGCCCAGAAAAATATAACCTTGCCCAGTAACAAAATGACCTTGCCCAGTAAAAACATGACCTTGCCAAGTAAAGAATTGACCTTGCCCAGTAAAAAAATGACCTTACCCAGCATCTCCCCCAACATTTAAATTATAGATGCAAGAGAGGTTTCGGGTTTAGGGTTTAGGGTATAGGGTTTAGGGTTTAGGGTTTAGGCTAGGGTTTTAGGGTTTCGGGAAGTTCTTCTTTGAAAGCCCTTGTATTTCTTACAGGGGCCCTGACGGGTTAATAGCTTTGGGCTGCAAGTTGTAACCTGAAATGCCCTAAATCCCTCAACCCCAGATCCCAAGACCCTAAATGCCCTAAACTCCAAACCCGAAAGGGTTTGTGTGCGTCGCAAACTGTCTCTCAGTCTCGCGCTATGGTACAGTGCTGTGCCCCAGCTTCGTAAGTACACACCCAGATGGCTAACCAGAGCTGGCAGTATGTACAACAAAAACCCACCTATCGACAACTTTTGAAGTTTAGGGTTTAGGGTTTAGGGTTTAGGGTTTAGGGTTTAGGGAAGTGAGGATCGGAAGAACCCGTTCGAGTTTGAAAACGCCAGAGAGTCCAACATGAGCCCGCCAAATCCACATCACAGTGACGTCGGCAGCAAAGCAATACTCAGCAGATTGCCACTTCATTCGAATAACCCTAAACCCTAAACCCTGAACCCTAAACCCTAAACCCTAAACCCTAAACCCTAAACCCTAAACCCTAAACCCTAAACCCTAAACCGTAAACCCTAAACCCTAAACTTTCGGAGGATGCGACCCGAACTTGAAACAAGATGCAGTAGAGGCATGAAACAAGCCCATCTCGACCAACTGAACCTTAAGCCCCCTAAGCTTCCCTAAACCCTAAACCCGAAACCCTAAACCCTAAACCCTAGAAGCCCTGAAAGCCTTACACGCCCCCCCCCCCCCCCCCAAACACCCTAAAACCCTAAAAACCCTAACAACCCTAAAAACCTAGAAACCCTAAAAACCCTAAAAACCCTAAAAACCCTAAAAACCCTAAAAACCCTAAAAACCCTAAAAACCCTAAAAACCCTAAAAACCCTAAAAACCCTAAAAACCCTAAAAACCCTAAAAACCCTAAAAACCAAAAACACCAAAAAAACCCACCAAAAACCCTAAACAACCCAAGAACCCTAAAAAACCTAAAAACCCTAAACAACCAAAAACCCTAAAAACCCAAAACCCTAAACCCTGAACCCTCGAAGCCCTAGCGGCCCTAAAGCAGGTGCAGTTTAGCACAGCGCGGTGCGCCCCCGACGACGGTCGTTCTTTGCACGGGGCTTGGCTCAGTGACTCAGGGTTGGGGGGGGGGGTCGGTGGCCTTAGATATGGGGTTTAGGGCCGGGCTTAGGGTCTATAGGGAGGGTAAGGGTTTAGGGTTTAGGGTTTAGGGTTTAGAGTTTAGGGTTCAGGGTTTAGGGTTTAGGGTTTAGGTTTGAGGGTTGAGGGTTGAGGGTTGAGGGCTTAGGATTAGGGTTTAGGGTTGAATCAGGTGGTTTAGGGTATTATGTCATGGACTCCAGTCAAGCTGGGGTTTAGGGTTTAGGGGTGAGCAACCCCCAGCCTTCTGTTGGCTTCCGCAGATTGGCATGCTTGGCCCAGATCCTATGGACTACGAGATTTAGGTTTCAGGGTTTAGGCTTTAGAGTTTAG